ATAAAAACTGCATCCCGTGCCATGCATGAAATGTTCCATAGCTGATCTGAGAAACAAAATTGCAACGAAGATTTACAAACTGCAAAAAGGGTAGTGAGTCAAATGTCCCTCTTTCAATTGAATGTATTTTATTGCAGGATAAATCTAAGTACTGCAGCGACAGCAGGCCTGCAAAGGAGTCTTTTCGTAATTCAGTCAGGGAGTTTCCACTGAGATTCAGTTTCTCAACCCACTGGTATGTTCTCCAAACATTCTTATCAAGGGAAGAAATAGAATTTCCTTGGAAATTTAAGACGGTGAAGGTCCTGTTGTGGGCACTGGGCTCGAGGGCAGGCACCTCGTGCAGCCTGCGGGTGGGGCCAAGGTCAGTGCAAGACAGGGTCTCCTCCTGGCAGGAACAGAGCTCACATATGTCCTTGTGTGTCGTGCTGCTCTGTGCCCTTAGCACAGTTAGAGCCTTCACCTCCGCTGGTTGAGTGGTGACTTCAGTCAGGATTGGATGCTGAGCCTGAACCTGGTCTGGGCATGGCAGCATCACCCCAGTCTGTGTTATAGAAGCTGTAGATTTCTGCAGGGACGGAGAGTGTGCAGCCCCTGTGGAGGGCACAGCAGTGCTGCTGGGATCCACGTGGGAAGGTGGGCCTGCGACCGGGCGTGATGGGCGATGTTGAGTGGGCTCCTGACCAGGACTTGGAGCTCCCGTCTCCGGAGGCACTGGAGGTTGAGTGACAGGCTCAGCTGGGTCTGCAGGCTGGGAGGAGGGCTTCTGCACAGCTGGAGGAACTCTAGCTTCTGCAGTCTACGGTGGAGTTCTGGTAAGCTGTGGGTCCAAAGGTCCAACTGTGCCCAGAATCAGGTTTGGTGGTGGAAGCGTCACCTCGGCGGGCCTTGCATGAACAGCTGCAGACCTCAGAAGCAGTTTTCGGAGCCTCTCTTGCCAAGGTAGCTTGGCACGCAGACCTTGAGGCGGGGCGGCAACCTTTTCCAGCTGTGGGGACAGCTGTCATGCAAACCTCTGAGGTGGAGACAACATCTTGGTGGGCACCGAGGAATCCGGGTAAACAAAGCCCCCAGGCTCTTCTGGGGGAGTAAGAGCAGTGAGTGATTCGAGCGGGAGATCAGAATCGAGGGAAGAGGGCTTATTAGCTGCTAGGGGGCGCACAGTTCAGGTGAACTCGGTATGGGGTCCAGCCTGGCTGTGGGACAGCCAGGATGGGCAGGCACATCTGTTGGCAGTGCAGCAACAGTATAGCCCAGAAATAAAGCGAAAACATGACAGGGCAAGGTTCAGTCGCACAGATCTAGGCCAGTAGGGTGCTGACCCTAGGTCTGCTAGAAACTTTCTGGCAGCCACCTGTGTGGCAAGTGCCTTGGTAACGGTGCTCACCCACATTCTGCCACACCCCACCCTTTCTGTATGACATCATAGTGGAGGAAACCTTTCTCAGGGCTGCCCATCAGTGCCCAAGCCTGACTCTCTTTCCCTTAAAAAGTGGCAGTGGCTTTTTGCAGGGCCTCTTCTCCATAGCAATGCCAACATGTGGTCTTGGGCCTGCACCAGCCATTGGGTGGGGTGGGGAAGAGCTTCCCATGGAAGTTAGGGCTTGGTCTTGGGATGCTCAGAAGTGTTGCGACAGAGAGGAGCAGCTCTGTGCTATAGCCAAGTGTTACGACTCGGTGTGGTGGCTCTGAAACACAGCTCTGAGGCACAGCTGAGCTTTATTGCTCAGTGTAGCAACTCCAGGTCACAGCTCTCATTCTTTGAAGACTTGAGAATCTGATGGTCAGTTGAAGAGGTAGAGATAAGCCTTTTAGTAGAGGAGTCTGAGCACTCTACCAGAAATGAGAGCCTCTTTATATAGGGAGCCACAGGGTAGGTGAGCATGCTCATTGAAGCAGGGGAAGGGGGGGACGGGGACGCGGGAGCAGAGTTACAGAACATTTCTGACAGGGTCCAGAGCTTAACAG